CAGTTCTTCTTTTAGCTCATATTGTCCAAACACTTAACATTTGAGACTATAAGCATTCTCTTGACTGAGCTAGAGCAGGTGGCTGGTGGTGTTGGACTTTTTGCTACTTTTTCTTGTCCCTGACTCAGGAGGCTTTACACCTTTGCTGCCAAACCAGGAACTGTGTATTGCCCACTGAATGTACACAGGAACAGAGCAGCCCAACTAAACACTGGAACAATGAGACTCTGCAAAGGGACTGGATTCCTCAAACTCATCAGTCAGAACAGACTTTCTAAAGCTCATTATCATAAAGCTCAGTCCAAGCTTATCCTTGGACTGGTCTCCTAGCACAATGGATTTTCCAATCTGTGTTTTGGTGAAGGGGATGTTAACGTATTTACAAGTCCCCCATATCTTCAGAGACTGCAAAAGTGACTGCTCTCTCTCACTTTGGAGTCAACTCAATGATATAGCTGAACATATCTATTCCCAGCCCCCACCAGCCCAACAGTCCTTCACACACTTCCCAACCTTTTCTCCCAGTTCAGGGGGCAAAGACCTCAGAATGCCCCTTTAGCTTGCAAAATGGGAGCAGCATTAAGTCTGAAGTGTTTCAGAGTTTCATAATTTCTCAAAGCAATAGTACTTGTGTCATACTGGAAGAGAACGGCAAGGAAGTGACCAAAAAACAGATGAATCTCAAAAATACATCCAAATGTATCATATAACTAAACACATCGGATGGGAAACAAAACAAGATGTGGCCTTCTAGGCAGTTTGACAGACATCTAAAAAAACTCTGAGAATCCACATCATTCTTCTACTGTTATCTGCTTTCCACAATCCAACTAGGAATTCAGGTTATAACCTGAGGCTTTCATAAACTTTCATTTATAGAATGAAGAATTCATTCATTACTTGTACTATTATCACAAACAGATGCTACTACAATATACCTGCAAGGTTCTACCCATACTGTGTTATGCACATTCGATAGCGGATGACAAATCCTGCACTGTAAAGCACTTAATAAAAGAAGACAGATCATTATTTGGCTTAAAAAGAACCTAACAAACTTCCTTGTCCTAATAAAGTTGAACAGATGCAACCTTATCTCCAAATCATTACTCCCAATCTTGGCATAGGCATGAAGGCTGTTAACAGCTGTATCTGACAACACTACATTTTAAAAAATCTATCTGTAAAAACATAATATAAAATTGTATATGGCCACATACAACGCAAACTGAGGTTCTTCATAATACTTGTACAGTCTCTGTTCAGTCATCTTGAAAGAAGAACTGATGTGAAAATTTTAAAAACTCATTATGTTTGAGTTTCTGCTATCTTCAGCTGATTTTTTGTATATTACTCCCTAAGAGACTCTTAATGACAAAACAAAACAAAAAAGACCAAAAGAAAAAACAGTTCAAAGGCATTGTTTTCTTACAACAACATTCCCATATTTGAACACCAGAAGGATACTTATACTAGGTGTTTTTGCCAAGGATTCTCCCAGTTATGACCACCCAGAAACAGGAACATAAACATGAAGAGGGTTCTAAGGAGCTGTCAACACTTTAAGTGATGGAAGTAACACATCAGCAGTTATCCAAAGCAAAGGCCATCCCAAAAGTCCATTTTTAGCTGAACCAATTGCATCACTGACAAAAACAAGCTACATTGTAACTACAGTGGTAACTTTGCTGCAGTGCTGACAAGTATGTAACCTCTAAAAACACAGTGGAAAAACTAATGTGCATCTGGCCCCATGGTCCTCAGGGCCAACTCTTCTACACACAACAGAAGGTAAGAATATTTACTTTGGGGCTGGAGGAGAGGGGGAAGTCCCATTCACTGAGGAACAGAGCAGGGAAACTACTGGTCAAAATTCCCGATAAGTGTTATCACCTCAAAGGAAGCTGGAACTTGGCACTGTGTTGCAAGAAAGCTCTTGAATGTCACGCACAGGTTTGGCCTCTCTGGGAGTGCCCTAAGATCTTATGGAATTTGGGTCTCACTCTACTTAACGCCCTAAGCCTACTGCAGGCATGCTCACAGCACAAAGTTAAACACACATGTACATGTATTTCTGTGAGACCAAGGCCCTGATTATTGAGTGAACTCAACTCCCCGTGAGATGAGACCAAGCTACACAGCAGTATTTACTCCACTGCATGCTGTTCATAAAAGTGCCTTAGCCTGAGGTCAGATGGGAACACGAGACCTTCACAGCCAGGAAAGGCTGTCAGTACCACAGCTCCTACTGAAGGAACACAGGCAGTAACTGAACATACTTGCCAATACATTAACATAAGTTTTACATTCTCATTCAAATGGTGCATTAACAAGCTTAGTATAGATTTAAGCATGTTACATCAGAGGGTTAATATATATACATTACTTCAGCATGCAAAACAGCTCAGTAAAAGTGACAATAGAATGCAATTAACTGATGGCAAATTAATTACAGTAATTTAACAAATGCAACACCCACGTGGCACTGACTGACGAAGCCAAGCAGTATACCTAAAAACATAAATAGCTGGAGATTCGGTTCAACTTACAGAAAGTATTCTTGTTCTTCTTTTTTTTATTTTAATTTTCACAGAATTGCTATGCTAATACAATTAATTTTGGCAGTTTTCAGGATAAAAAGAAATAATCCAGCTAATTTGCAAGTTACAAAACAAGGGAGGGGACTTCAAGCATGCTTAAGATACACAAGATAAATGCCAGATACCACACCTAGACATGCGTGAGCTAGTTACCATCATGACAAAAACAATGCTTCAAGTTATTTTTCAGAATGCTGATGCTATTAATGTATGATCTCCAGCTGGGCTACTTTTTCCAACCTGTAGTTATTACAAGGAATCAAGAAAACACAAAGCATGCAACTAGAAAAAGATGGCACCACAGAGTGGGATGTGGAGTAATGTATCATCAACATCACAAAATATTTAAATTGACAGAAAGAATAATGCTTCAAGTGAGGCCTTCTTCACAGGTGTTGCAGTATTATGATTAAGCAGTTATCCATCCCACTAAGATACACTGTCATTATGTGATCACAATAGCCATGGATCTATTTGCTTCCTCACTAAAAATCTTACTGTATCTTGAAACTTGCCAGTTTTACTCCTAACATACGGCAGTCCTTACTTATTAGTGAGTCGATGAAGACAGTGTATCCTTCCTTCCTGGCACTCCTCCTGCACCGGTAAAAGCAACAAGCTTTGCAGCACTCCAAGGACAAAATACAGCGTAGTACGGCAATTAAAAAATTATTACATGCCATAGAAAAGCAAGATCAAATTCAGAGTTATTCTGAAGAGACCTTCCTGCACCTGAATACAGCTTCCTAGGTTATTAATCGTCATCACTTCGTTTACATTTAATCCACTCCCTCCTGGCACCAAGGCAAGTTGCAGTACAGTGTTTAAGCACTGAGGGGGGAAAAAAGTTTCACTTTTGAGCAACAATTGGCTACACATTCTAATGATTCCCCTGCGCTTATCACGAGCTGTACAATACTCCATGAGAGCACATCCTTTCGTCACTAGAAGAAACACATGCACCTTCTTCCTTCTCAAGGTACTTTGATGGTGTAATGAGCATCCTTGCAACAAAGCACTCCTGTGCACCAGCTTAGTACTATGAGAATAGTTATTTTTCTTTGTTAGAGGAAAATATTTTATTATAATAGGGTTTGACAGCTTTCTGTTGATGTTCAACCACTGGGACAAGGCAGTTTTAGACATAGGAAGTAACAGCTATGCTGTCTTGAGGTCACCACGCCAGAGGCAGCAGGCCATGTGACAGAAACCTCGTGTACCCTGCGAGGGTCAGGCTGCACACACTCTGCTTTGGCTAAAACCGGGGGAATTACAGAAAACGAGAAAGCCAATCTACTACAAATGATATTCACAAATGGATTAATAAGAATAAAGAAACACAGAAATATTACATTAGCCTCTTGTTTCCCCCCCTAAAAAAAAAGCTTTGGGGTATTAAGTTTATATAGGTATATATATTTATATATATAAATATATATGTGTGTATTAGAAATGTCAGTTGAAAAATACATCCATTAAATAATAAAATTTGTGCATTATTTGACCTATATGAACAGCCTTTAGAATGAGCAGTACTTAAAGGAGCCAGCAACACTGAACACAGCTGGCAACTAACAAGATGATTTCCTTCAAGGTAAACCTCAAGGTAAAAAACACAGGCAGTAAAACGCTCGTCCTATACAGCCCAATTAATCTCGGTAGCGCAAGACAGACAAAAAAAACGACAACGTGCTCCACGTTTAATGTGCTTCTCAAGGGCCCCAGCTTCTTGGTTATTTCAGAGTCTAGCCGAGTGTTCCTCCTGCCTCAAGAGCACATGTGCCCATCCTCAAGGCTACAGGGTGCCGGTGCTGCAAGCCTGTACTCCAGCGGCACGGACAGCTATCCGGCTCTGCTCATCTCTTAGAGGGTGCATCAACAAAGAAACTTACTTTAACTTCTGTTTTTCTGTACCGACTTTCTGGACAGAGAACCCGAGAACTCAGAAAGAGGAACAAGCATCAGCCACACATTAATCAGTGCCTAAAGAGGGGTTTGGTCCGATTTTAGAATAAACGGCGGAGACACATGATCCAATTAAATTCTAATTATGTAAGTAGTAGGCAAGAGTATTTACACAGGCACTGATTACAGCTATTAGAGTCTAAAGTCGCCGGCCGGAGAGGCTCTGCTTCCTCCCCGCCGCCGGGCTCGTTTCATTTTTGACCTCCCCGTTCACAGCTCTCCTCACAGACAATAGGAGACGCCGGCCCGAGAGCCCCTCTCCAAACCCGGACGCCAGCCTGGAGGAGCCGCAGCTCTCCCCGGAGTGATGATTCATTACCCGTCCCACCTCGGAGCCGGGAAAAGACCCTCCACACCCCATCCCACCGCCCGCAACCCCGGCCCCGCAGCACCGGGACAGGCAGACAATGCCTCCCGCCCCGCCAGTGCCCTTACCTCCGAACAGGTGCGGCGAGAGGTGCGCGGGCAGCGAGCCGATCACTAGCCGGGGCCCGCCGGAGGAGCCGCCGCCGCCCCCCGCGGGCCGCTCCCGGCCGCCCTCCTCCGGGGTGCTGCTGACCGAGTCCTGCGAGCCGTAGGGGCCGCTGCTGTGGGGGATGTTGAAGGCGGACTGCGCCGCCCGGGCCCCGGAGGCCGTGGCTCCCCCTAAGGACCTGCTCCGGGGTGCCGACCCCGCGGCACTCCCCGCCGCCGCTGCTCCTCCGGCCGCCGCGGCCGCCGCGCCGCCGGGAGCGGCGTGAGGCGCCGCCGCCAGGTGCGCGTAGCGCCCGCCGCCGCCCGCCGAGCGCCCGCCGGTCCCGTTAGCGCCGCCGCTGCTGCTGCTGCTCGAGGAAGGCAGATCCCCGCCCGAGTAAGCCCGGGTGCGGCCATTGGCGGCAGTGGGGCTGCTCTGCTTCGCGCCCATGGTCCCGCCGCCGCCTGGCGCTGCCCGGTGCCCTTCGCCGCCGCCGCCTTCCCCGCGGCGCCCGGGGGCGGTGGCAGTCCGGCCCCGGCGGGGGCGATCCGAGGCGCGGGTCGCGCCGGGGAGTGGGGAGGGGGAGCGTCGGGGGAGGGGGACGGGTCGCTCGGTGGGTCGGTGTGGAGAGGGGAGAGCCGCCCGCCGGGATCCGGCTCAGCTGGCGGCCCCGGCGCGGCCGCTGCCGGCGGGTCTGGGGCGCCACCATGAGCTGCTCGGGACGGTGCTGGCTCCCGCCGCGCGGCCGCTCGGCCCCGCCGCCGCTGCTGTGCCCACCGCCGCCGCGACCGCCACCGCCATCCTCCTCCTCGTCCGCCGCCGCTGAGCCCTGCGCGGGGCACCGGCGGCAGCAGCGCCGCCGAGGCCGCTCGCTCACCCGCGGCGCGCCGTGCCCGTGCCGAGGAGGCGGGAGGGGGCGGTCGCCCCGGCGCAGCCGCTCCTCTACCGTGTCGCCATGCTGGGGGCGGCACCAGCGGGCGGGATGGGGAGCGGTTACGGCGGGCGGGGGCCGCCGCCTCGGCTGCCCCCCCGCGCCCAGCGGGAGACCGGCCCCCGGCGGCGGCGCAACGGGCCCGGCCCGCCGGCTCGCCCCGCCTCCCGCGCCGCTCCTCCCGCAAGGTGCGGGACAGCGCCAGGTGAGGCCCGCGTGGCCCCCGGTCGCGCTCGCCTCGGCAGCAGGGAGAGTTCCCGCGGCGGGGCCGCCGGCGGGACACAGCACGCACACGCACACGCACACGAGGGCAACTCGCTGTCCCCTCGCCCGCGGGCGCGTCCCGCGGGTTGCCCGCCCGGGCGGCAGAGGAGAGCCAGATCGCCGCCGGCGGAAGGCGAGCGGCCGTGCCCCCGGTGCCCCCGTGTGTAGCGCTCCGTCCGAGCCCCGGCAGGTGGAGGAGAGGAGCGACAGCAGCGGGGGCGGCTCGGCTCGGCGGACAGGGCCGGGGTGGCGGAGCGGCGGTGCTCTCCCATGCCCTCCTGCCGCGCCGCCGCTCGGTTCTCCGCCTCTGCGGCTCCAGCAAACGCCCGGATGCCCGACCTCGGCGCCTGGGCCGCGGCTCGGCGGGACAGTGGGGGAAAGGGCCTTGGGATCTCTCCCGGCTTCTTGGGAGTTCGGTTCGCTCTCTCCCGGCCGCTTGCACCCCTTGGGATCTCTTCCATCCCTGACGGTTTGCTGCGAGTCTCTGTTCTCCGAGAACCTGGATGTACTAGGAGACATATGGACATATCGGGAAGCAGGACTAGAAGGACGAAAATCTCTGACATCTTTGGTTCACAGGTGATACAGGAAAATCCTGTATACCTCAGTCTCTCACTCAAAGTCACGTTCTTTTACAGGAGGATTAACTAAGCTGTAAATTTTATCCCAGTGAATAATACCCATGTGGATAGCAGGCTCAGTTGCTACACAGTATCATAACAAAACATTCAGAGACATACAAGTGTTTTGTGCCTTGTTTGATACTGAGTGTCGCATACACTGAATTTATACAAACATGATTCCTACAGTCGGTGGTCTAAGGAAACTGCTTGTTTTATGGATTTTTGTCTGCTCTAAAATAGACTATGTCACCATGAAGCAGTGCATCAGGACTCTGCATCATAGTGTCTCAGTAGGGATTCCAGCTACATTCCTTCCTATGCCACAGTAGCACAGTATCCAAGCTATGTTATAATTAATACCATAAAAGTGATCCAAACCTTAATTAAAATACAAAGCATTATGGAGCATTTATGCTTGTGGCATCTTTGATGCTCCTTCTCAGATGTGAAAGGTCGTCTGCTCCACCTCCTTTTGCCATGACTCTTACAACTGCATGTGGCATCACATTCTGGCATTGCTGCAGCTCACAGCTGGGTCTGCAAGAAGAGGTGCCATCGTTGGGGGTGGCACAGGAGGGTACTAGCCCTAACTCTTCCTTCCAACACCACTTTTCTGGATAGCTGAGACTCTGTGAATACTCTGAACCCTATTTAGAGAATGCTGGTGTAAACTGTTTGCCCGTTTCAGCAAGAGGCAGTGATTCCACAGCTGTCTCATGAAGAGTCTTTTGTGTGCTGGGTGTTGGGCAGACAGCTGGGGTCGATAATCTGCCGTCCCAAGCTATGTCATCCCCACTTGTGAATTATAAGCTGCAGTCTCTGCTGGCAGTGGTAGATACTCCAAAGTAGATCAATCATGAGCACTTTCTAGTTCAATTCCCTGCAGAAAGAAAATCAGTGTGGATGTGCTGTCTGCTCTGCCACCACTGGTTACTTTTTAAATCCTTGTCCAGCTTCAGCCAAATCTCTCAGAGACATGAACAGTGTAGAAAATTAGTGGTTATGTAGAAGACAGAGTTTCTAATGTTCCCACAGAAAGGAAAGCTACTGTAGGAATTCCTATCCTGCTAGGTTCCAGGAATCTGCTTGGGCAAAGGATGTTGCAAACATGACTCATAATTTCTGCTGCTCACAGAATGCCTGTGGCATGTTGAGCCCTATTGGAGCAGGGTTGCAGGGAGCATGCTCAGAGTTTTATGGAGTTTTTAAAATTTCCACTAGTGAGTGTTAGTAGAGGTGTTCAGCTGCTAGAATAAACAGCATTTTGAAAATAGTACATTGCTACACAGTATCACAGCACTTTCTATATTTTTTTTTCAGTGGATTTAAGAATTGAGCAGGTATTAAATACAGATCATATTTGACTGTGAATAATATTTTATTCAATTTAGGATTAAATTATGAAGGCTATGGTGGAAAAAAAAAACCCTACAAAAAAGACATCCAGTTACTCAGTCTTACAGTCAGAAAGTTACATTTAACAGCGTAGGATATTTCACAGGAAAGAAATCACAACAACAAGACAGCCTGTGTTCCCTTCTCAGAGAGCATGACTTCTCCCAGCACAATGTGATTTTCTGTTTTTCTTTTTTTTTTTTTGGTAGGCTTCAAATTTTCTTTTGCATCTAAGACATATTTGCAGCTCTCTCACTATCAAGTGTGAGTCTAAACAAGGCACATCTCTCAAACAGCACCTACATCTTCAGGAAAAAAAAGCATGCCATGCCTCTGAGCCAGCTTTCTCCCCTCAAATCTTCCTGGTCTCTGAAAAATGAATAGAAATTTTTCTACATATGAACATTTGCTTTATATAAGCAACAGTACAGTTAGGTTTTCAAGCTAACATTTCTTCTAACAAATGTCTATTAGCTGTCTAGTCTTGTAGAGGCAAGTATCTGGCACTGTAACCTCCACCCATTTGTTCATTACTACACTCCAGAAGTAGCTTGCATAAAAACTTTTTAAGTTACAAAAGAAAGTCTCTAGTGATGAGAGGAAGCATTGCAGAGAGAAAGTAGAACATCTTGCTGCTGACCATACTTCTACAGATTTCAAGAACTCAGTGGAAAAGGAGATAGTTATATAAAAATTAACTTCTATAGGTCTATATGGGTGAATGTGGCTTTTGTTCCTGTAGAAACGTATCTAGGGAATCGTCGTCATACTTAAATAAGCACCACTTCTTCCTTGTCCAGGATAGTGGGGAAAAACTGGTTTAGACAGGCAAATATACTCGCTGTTCTTTGTTACAAGCTGCATACCTCCACTTCAGTTCTGGTTGCACCACTTTGTCTATCAGCACGTGAAAATAATGAACTTGATTCTTGACCAGTTTCCTTGAACATACCAGGTGACAGGTGTGCCCTAAGCATACAAAATTAGGTGTAAATTCATAATGTTGCACATTTTGGAAAATGTCTGCTGATAAATGGAACAGGGGCCTGCATTTTGCTTGACAGTGAGCTATGCAGACAGATAATTTCCCCTCTCCCCTCCTGCCCCCTTCTTTGATGCCTTTTAAAGGGATACTGAAACAAGGATTTGAGCAAGGTTTCATTACTGACAGAAGCATCTGACCCTGAACTAGTAAAGCCAGCCAGAGTTTCATTCTGTTCAGAACCAATCAGACACTCTATTCTAAAGGAGAAAGATTTGGAAAGTAATGGCATACCCTCATAACATACAGCTTAATTTTATAATAACTAGTATGGGCTTCTAAAACCTTCTAAAAAGGTTCAGCCAGCTAGATTTTCTGAGCAGGTACCAGGCTAGAACTGCACATTGTTGTTGGAAGAGGTCAGTGCAGTTTTTACATTACTGTGTGTTTCATCTGTTTGAAAGAAATAGCTCTGCACACCACTTCTGCACAGATAACTGAAAATTGAGACTTCTGATGTGTTTAGTTGCTCATAGGGAAAGCAAAACAGAGCTGTTTTATCCCCCTGAAATGACATGTAAAATGCACATGCCTTACATCTGTAGCTAGAGTAAGCCATCCAGCAGATGAGGCTGTTTTATGTTCACATCTGTACACTGAGGGAAATAGGTCCCATATAATCCCTCTCAGTGTGACTACAAACAATACATAAAGCTATTGTAGGAATCCCTTTAGATAGATTTTGGTGCCAGTGATGCTCCAGCTGGTGTCTGGTGTTTTTATAGATGCAGGAGACCCCATTATCCAGATTTAGATTTTTATTTGCATTAAATAACTCTTTACACATATTGATGTTAATCATATGAAGATTTGGGCACATGCTTGCACTGACACATGAAAAATAATTCTGCAACATGTTGAGATCAAACTCCATGGAATAAAAAAACCAAGCTGCTTGTCAAACTCAAGGTTTGATTTTTAGAATTGTTTTGTAAATGTGTGGTCATGCTCACAAGGGTAAGGAGGTTCACCCTTGCTTCATAAAAATTCCTTTGAAAGCCTTCTATCTTTTGTTTGAAGTTTATGCTTTTCTGAAGTTTCTATCACACTGCAAACAATATGCTGTATTTTGTACTCTAGAGTTGCCCGTAGAGAAAATTGATGCTCACAAAGAAGATAACTTAATCTTGAAAATAAACTGACATTTTGCCTGGACTTATTGATTGACCATTTTGTACAGGAAGAAATACTTGGAAATAACATACTTGAGAAAATGGCAATTTGTGCTGTGCACTTCATTACCACATGCTGTAAAGTAGTACTTTAGGAAATATACCTCAGTCCAAGATTTCTCATAGGAAAGGGTATTCACCCTAATAACTACTATGCTGTCCTACGCTCACAGTTGTATTATCTTAGCCACTGGGTACCTATGTAGGTAACCAGAGGCAATACCAAATGCTATCCAGATGAATTTACCTTTTTGCTACATGATCAGGCCAGTGCTGTTACTGGTTCTGCCATAAACTGTATTAGTTTTACTTGTTGGTGGGGTTTTTGTTGTTATCAGCTTTGCATTAATCACCTCTCTGTGTAGCTTCCTGATCTTTCATGCAGTCACAACCCCACCCCCAACCCTCATTTTTTTACATGTTTAAGAAACAAGAGAAGACAAATAGCTGCTTAGACTGTGCCCATTTCTACACTGGAGCACTCTGCACCATATCATCAATGAAGCGACGTCGGTGTTTATCTGGGCAAG